ATTTATTTATTTATTCCGACAATTAAAATAAACAATAATGATATATGTAAAAATGTTATAAACATGGACATAGGCCTATGTAAAAATACACAAAGTAAATGTGTTTTAACGTGATCTATAATAACAGCTGTCAAATTACATTTTAAGCACTTTTTTAAAATCAAATTTCATGTGACAAAAACTGGTGATATATGCCCATATTTGGGTGCAGTATATCACCATGCCCATAATCACACAAATTTGTTACATAAAATTTGATAATGTGGACAGAGCTTAAAGCCCTGTTCACACTTATTTTATTTGACAAAAACACGTGACATGCCTAAATATGGTCATGATGACATCACATCATGACCATATATAGGCACATCATGACTATATATGGGCATACGACATTTTTTGTCAAAGAAAGTTTGATGGTGTGGACAGAGTATAAAAATAAGAGTGCCAGGTCTCTGTTTTAATAAAAGTGAAAGACAAAGCAATTCGGGATTTTTCGGATGGTACTGTATACTAGAATTTGTTGATCAATACAATAAAACGATTGGCTGGAAGCTATTATCGATTTTGTTCTGAATCAATTCGGCCCAGTTAATTAAATTCTCATTTACTTAATGCGTATTCATGAATAAATAATTGTATAATTATGTAGGAGGTTTAATGAAGCACATAACGGTGTTTAGTTTCATTGTGTCACTTTTCTTTGCTATCCGTATGTATGATTCAAACACGTGACGTAATATATCGATATATGCGAAACACGAAAGAGATAATTTAAGAGTGCAAATTGGTTGTGACATCATCATTATTTACTCATTCACCTTTCTTAATTGCATCAATTAAAATATTTTATAATGATATTAATATTTTATTTTCATGAGTATGTGAATAATGGTTGCCATAATGTTGTTATCACAGGCCCAAACCTTTTAGTTAAGATATATATGAGAAGTTAAGTAATATAATTAATTACCGTACTCGCGCGAATAAGCGCCCGGGCGCTTAAAATATGTTTTGTTTTTTTTTTGCACTTTTTGAGGGGCGCGTATTCAAACGGATGAAAACAGGCGCTTATGAAAACAGAGTGGAAGGAATACTTATGGAAATATATGAAAATTGAGGGGTTGTTATGGAAACTTAGAAAATTGGAGGGGTACTTTTTGAATGAAAAAAGATTGTATAAGGACTTCCGGAAACCGGAGATTATGGTTCTGGTGTAGAAAAGAAATCGTCCAGAGAAAATGGCTCATGACAAGAATGCGAGTTTCAACAGCAGATGAAATGTGGTGGTGGTGTATAAGCTTGTTGACCATCTGCCGATTGAGATTAACAGGATCATTGCGGGGCCTCTTGCAAACTCAGATGAAAATGTGCTAAGGTGCAAATAGTCGGGGAAAAAGAGAAATAGAGCTAGGACTAGAAATATGTAAGAGGAAAATTGAATAGATACTGTCCAGAGAGCTCTCATCTGTCCAGGAGGAAATATCCTCGTTTGAAATTGACATAAGAAGAAAATGTGAATCCACTCCGCATCTCAAATCATGCTAAACACAGTACCAAGATTGTTTGGTTTAAAAAATGAATATCGAGGAGGCGCTTATTCAAATGGGGCGCTTAAGAACATTTTCACGTTAAGAACATTTTTACCGTCTGAAAATACCGTGCTTTTATGATAAGTTATCTCCATCCCTCATACCGCTTAAACTAGGCGTATACATTGACCCGATGGCAGCCGGCCGACGCAATTCATGGAGTTGAGCTTGACCAAAATGTGTCTGGGACGTCATTGCCCGATCTGTTATTCAAAGCCAACGACTTAGTTTTGCTGGCAAAATGCTCTTCAATAATGTAATAGTCTATGTTTTTTTACCATTTTAACACTGTGATTGTCAGAGAGCTGCTAGCTCATTCGGATAAACTGGTGGTAGCTAATTCGTGTGGAGATCTCCTGGTCCCCGGTTCAATTCCTAATTGCTGGGCCTACTCTGCTGGAGGGATGAAATGTAAGTTTCTAAAGCGTATTGGTACCGTCTATGAGACGTTTGTGTGTGTCCGGCTTTAGAATTAAATATCATACAATCACATGTACATGTTTACTAGGGCATTCCTACTGGTCAAGATACGTTCAATATAACTTTGCTGCTTTTCGGTTTCCAAAGATCTTTATTACAGTAACATCATCTCAAAATTTATTGGTAACCTGCACACTCTGGAGGTAGCTGTCGTTCTTATATTGGAGTAACACCATGGAATCAATGTTTTGGCACTGTGATCACC